TTGCAACGCGAAGATGAAATTTAGCACTTGCACATTTTGTTCCGCTCCATGGTAAGACCTGTTGCACTGTTTGTTGGGGCTTTTTTTTTTTTTTTGTGATTTCTTTTTTTAAATGTATTTATTAGGATCTTCATCTACTATGTTGTTTAGCAGAAGTTGGGAGCAAGCCTGAACTTGCTTGTGTCTGTTGAACTGATTGCTCACAGTGTGATTATATTGTCATGTACTTTTAGAGGTTTGACAGTTTCTTCAGGCTTGTGTCTGTATTGATATTAAGAAAAGGGAAAAAAGACTAGTCCCACTTGAGTGTTTCTGTGTTCACCTATAACCTACTGTTCACACATTTAATTATTAAAATTTTAGTTGCTTGCTTGCCTCAACAAAGATCTGTCTATCTCCCAGGCAATTTTGTCTTCAAGACTTTTCAACTTGAAAAATCAGAATTAAAGAATTTTAAAATTAGTAGATAGAGCTTTCCAGAATGCTAGACACACAGGTGCTTACCCTCCATGTGAGGAAGGGTTCTGAGAATTAGAAATGCCATTTTTATTTGATAGCTATTCAGCTGTCAGTTTTAGTAAAAGAAAAGACCTATTAGGCCACTCTTGAGTTTTTTTGCCACTCCTTGTCTAAGTCTGTTCCATAAGATGGGGAAAGGAAGAAATTAACATCAGTTTGTACGTAAGTGTGAAAAACATCTGTGAAAGAAAGTTGTATGATTCTGCGAAAGGCTTAAGATGTGCGACACACATTGCAATTCATCTGCTGCTGAAACTTTTTACTTAGAAGAAAAGCCCAAATGATTTTCCTGGTGTTGCTTTTTTTCACTTAGCCGTTTAGGTGTTTTGTCCCTGTTTTGATAAAATGGAATAGTCAGGTGTCTTCCAAGAAGTTTGATGTTTTTCTTTTTTTTTTAATAGCCATTATAGCATTTTCCTATTTTTAGTAACCACGTTGAGAATGGTGATTTTTGTCTTACTTACGCTACTTAATATATTACAAGAATCAATTTTATTTAAGCAAGTTCAGTTTCCCCTTGCATTTGTTTTGTTTGTTTTTTTGGGTTGATTTTTTTTTCTATTTATTTATAAGTAGGAGAAATCTGTTTTGCGTTGTTTCTGAGAGAAGATTTGTTTTATGGAGTGTATGCAGCCATGTGCACTAATGTTGTTTACAAATGCTGAATTTGTGTTGGTATAAATATGGATGTGAAAGAGAATGAATGTATTTGTACGATTGTGTATATGCCACTCCATTTCTAATACTGTACATTCTTTAGGGTTTATTATAAATTACTTTGCAATCAAACCGAAGGAGGAGATTGTTTTTTTTTTAAATTGATACCAATCATATCAAAATAGAGTAATGTATTCAATAAGGGGGTCCTTGAGTTCTGCATTCTTGAGTTCAAACCTTATAAAATGTTTTAAGAAATTATTACATATTTATGTTCTGGCCTGTGAAACACCAGTGTGTGCAGATTTGTTTAGCTGTTTGTTACATTAATCTTTGTGTAAGTAGTGAAATCAAACCAGTTGTCAGTATAACCCTTTTCTTAGGCCCACAAAATAATATGTAATCTTAGTGGTATTTAACTGTGGGAACTCAGCACATCACTCCTGATGTCCAGAGTTGCCAAGACAACCCTTGGGGGGCTCAGAAATCCTGGAATGTTGCCAGAAGTGGTTGGATTTTGACCCTGCACGGGATGTGCCACCTGTATGAGGGCAAGAGGATCACTTGGGGATAAGTGGTGAAGGAATTGATTATTCACAGGGTGAAAATACAGGTTTTGGGATTTTGGTACAGGGGAGTTTTTAGGAGACAAGATGGAGGAATTAGGGTGTGCTTTGTCCTTCTCTTCTTCTTCTTGTCATCCATCTTTGGTGATGATGTTGGCACTTTGGGATTGGTTCACATTATATGTGCACTTGTTAATAAGGGTAAAAGGTATTGGAAGGTAAAGGTGAATATCTTATACGTAGTTTTTAGTATAAAAATAGATGACCGCCCAGTGGGAGGTCAGTGTGCCCATGGCTGTCTTGCTGGTCAGACCTCTGTCAGGCTGGGAGACGACTTTGTAGATAAGAAATAATAAACAATATTGAAGACCAAAAAATCTGAAGAGTGAGCTCGTCCTTTGGAGCGCGGGCTGTCCCAAGGCCATTCTACGCCTAAGTGGGCAGAGACAACAGGCCGAGAACGGAGATTTAACCAGTGGCATAGCTAGGCCAGATCTATAGCATGTCTTCAGAAATCTTGATGGATGCACTGATAGCTTCTGCCACAGACAACTACAGAAACAGAAAGTAGCTTGGGCTTTATCTTGCATCGCTGTTGGCATTTTGTGGTCAAAATGTCTTCTCAGCAAGCAGTTCCTTCCTTCCTCTGCTACATGCTTTGTTCATAAAATACACAGTAAAACGTAATCATTCTTACAGATTTGGACACAGCTTGTTCTCTGCTAGGTATCCCTTAGCATTGGTATGTGGTTTATACAAAGATGGGTTGGAGTCCAAACAGCTGATAGCACATGGCTATTTGAGTTCCTGAAGTAACAACACTGCAGGTGTTCTGGAATAAGGTGTAGGCAAAGCTATTGCATGTAGAAAAAACAGTATTACGATAGAGAGGAGAGAATGTGGATATAAATATTTTTGTTTATCTATAACAGATATATACTTATTTATAAATATATAGCTAAAGCTAGTCTCCCAGATGCACTTTTTGTTATTATGAAAGATGGAGGGATTGAGAAGATGCTACTGTCTGAAAATGAACACTAACACCTTAGGGGGAAAGTAGCCAAATGCGATCATGAAACCCAGAACTGTCAAGGAAGGTGGAAATGGCTGACATAACCAGCTGCAACTGCAACTTTACATGCCTTAGACTGATATGCTAGTGCTATAGGGATTTTATATACTTGAATATGTGTGTGCTTTGGTTGTTGTTTTTTGTGTTTTTGTTTGGTTTTTTCTTTTTTTCCCCCCTTTTGTTTGTAGTCTGTTTGATTGTGTTTTTTAATTACTGGTTATCTGAAGGACTATTTTCTGTCCCACACAGTACCTGTCTGATATTTTTTTTTCTTGATAATTAATTTCTGTACTATTTTTTTATTCATTCTGTACTCAGAATCTGAGAATATATACTCATCTAGTTAAGAGGATATACATTTACATTTTTCAGAGTTTAGAGATGGGGGGAGGCCATACTGTTGAATTTTGTCCCTTATGACTAGAGGCTGCCATGAAAATTTTGAGGAAATGCTGAGTTTTCAAATTTTTAAAGGAATGATGGAAGTTTATATAAGCATGCAGGTTAGGATGGGAAAAAGGCAAATACAAAAGTGGATTGTTAATCTGTTCAGATCAATCCAAGGCTTTTTGAATTTAAATGACCTGGGAATCTTTAATTGAAGGTTAACTCTGTAATGAAGTTAATCTCTCTTGAGAGGCTGATATCTGATTGACCTATAGAGTTGTCTGTCTAAAAGGTTTTAATTGTATCAATTTATTATTCAAGATAAGTCACTTCTGAGAATTGTGGGTAGTGATCGAAGCTGATAAAAATATATCCAGAAAAATGAAGCTGAAGACTAGAGAGAATCCAATTATTTATTTTAAATAAAAGAACATTTATAGCAATTGGTACAGTAAAAATGTAGGCAATGCTTTAAGGTTAAATTCTAGATCATAAGTTCTGCATTTTTTGTCGTGAAATACTTTGAAGAATTAGATATTGATGCCTACTACCAAAGACAAATTCTGGTCTTAACATTTCTCCTCTTTCTAAATGCTACTTAAATCTTAATGCTCTTCCACTGAAGCTGTTCTTTCTTTTCCAGGCTGCTTAAGGCTAGTACCTGCATGCCAGGACAGCTGTTACAGTCAGCAGATTTCCCCAAGGCCAAATTACTCTTTATACAGAAAGAGAGAGGTGAAAAACCTGTTGAGTATTGCTGATCTTAAACCTTCTTTGAAGAAATATTATTTCGGGTTGTTTCAAACACCTTCAGAACAGTAGCATCTGGATTTTGTAAATTGTGAATTTAGATATGGCCCTGAAAGAAAGAATAATTCAAACAGATGAAATCTGCAGTGTAAGAGCTGAGTTGGAAAATACTAAGGAAAAACTCATGAACAGCCAGAACCTGCCAATGGGGTCATGCCTGTTCTCTTTGTGGCCAAGGGAAAGCTTCCTTGGCAGAGTTGAGATGCTGGTGGTTACCTGTTTCCTGTATTCCTGCCGACAGTTTGTTTGAAGGGCTGGCTCTGCTGTTGAAAACCATGTTATTGAGGATTGTACTTGTTCAGTTGGATTCTCAGTTGGAGAGGGCTTGAATGCGCAGTTCACATGGAATGCTCTAGGTGGTCATTTTTCCTTTGTTCCATTGCAGTGTGTTTTTATGTTAAAAGGATTTTGATATTGGAAGACAAGGGAGTAGAAGCCCTATTCCATAATTAATTTGGATTAGTGTGGAAATAGGAAAGTTTTAGGCTCCAGCTATGGTCTTGGATAACTCTCCCTGATAGCCAAGTACTGTGTAATAGGAGTGTGTGTGTAGGTAAGTGATTCATCTCTCTAACTGTTCATCTTAATGTTTAACTACTAGGAATATGTGTTTTAAGTCTGTATTACTTGTGCTTAGACTTTGATTTTGCTATTTTCTTTATATAGGCTAAGATAAAAGGATGGGTTTACCCTTGTTGAAATTAGTGTATACAAACAATTAAAAATATTAATGTTCATCTGACAGGAGTCTTTCACAATTTTATTCAAGGTAATTCTGAGGTTCAGGTGAGATTTGTTTTTAATGTCCTTTTTCTTTTCCGTATGTTTGCAGTCTTTAAAAAAACATCAGTTTGAACTGAAGAAACTTGAAGAGGTGTTGTGAGGAAACAAATATTTTCTGCTTGCTGGTGGACACCAAATTCAAGAGTTTTCTTGCTAGTGAACATGCATGCAACCTGACTATTTCTACTTGACTGTGTGGGGCAATATATGGAATGAAGTCATGTCATCCACAGGCAATGGCTCTGATATTGAAGAATTTTTGGTCACCATTAACCTTGCACAATATCTTCCTAACTTTAAAAAATATGGCTACACCACAGTGACAGATTGCGTGGGAATCAATAACAGTGTGCTTCAGCAAATGGGAGTGTTGCCTACAGGACATCGCAGAAGAATTCTTAAGCAGTTAGACAATCTTTTGGAAATGCAAGGAAATTCTTTTTTCCATGAAAATTTAAAACTCAAAGACTTGAAAGGTTTGGAAGAGAAGCAATATTCATCATCTGATCAGGAGTTTCCTGTAAGCAATTCAGGTGTAGATCAGACTGGCTTGAAATCTGTAACATCATCAGAACAACTCCTTAAAAAATCTTACATCAATAAGGAAAAGTTTGAACTTGCAGAGCAAAACTCAATGGAGACAAATGATGATAACTTTACAGATTTGGATTTTTCTAGTTTATACCAGAATTCAGACAGCATACTAAAAGCTGTCAGTCAAAATAGAAATCCTAACATGAATAATCAGCAGGATGCATCACTGACAGAAGCTGCTGCATACCAAGCTGATGAGCCCTTGATTGGCCCTTTGGTGTTCCGTGATCCTCCTTCATTTGTTCGTTCATGTGAGACAAAATGCAAGGAAAACAAACAGCAGAGGTTTGCAGATGAGGGTGATTTATCTAATAGAAAACCAGGTTCCCCATTCTATAAGTTTAAAGGAAAAATGATAGACAATGACTTATATGATTCCTGTACGCTGAACTGCATGAAAGTATTTCCAAGAGCAACCCGATCTTTTATCTTAAGGCATCGACCTGTACCAGAAATTCCCGAGTCAAGTAAAGTTCAACCTTCATCAAGGTAATTGCTCTTCAGTACTAATGAGAAATTACTATCTTGGTAGAACTTACAGTTTGGGGTTTCTTGAGTTTTATTTCCTTATGTCTATTTTTTTTTTTTGTGTGAATTTTTTAAATATGCACTGTAAATACACTGGATTTGATATGAATGTTGCCGAATTAAGTGAAGAAGGATTAAGCTTCAATGTACTTCTAAAACAAAAATGAGAGTGTAAAGGGAAATTTTAGAACAGTGTGTCCTTATAACCTCCTCAATTTTCTCTGCATCTACATATTCACAGATAAAGCAATCTTTATTGATTTAGGTATAACTCTTATAAACTATAAAACATAAGCAAGAACTTCAAGATGGCTTTTGGGTTAATTTCTGAACTGATAGTCATTTGATTGTTAACTTCGGAGAATGAAGGCAACCATTTATTCATATTATGTGTTGGCTTTTGCTGGTGGTCTCATAACAACAAAACCTTAGCTTTTAATGATGTTTCTACGATAGAAATATTTCTGAGACATTCCAGCGGGGGAAAACAACAGTAGAAAAAGGAGGAAAAAAGAAGACGATAGCTGTGGATGGTTTTTCAGAGTTTATGCCATCTTTTAATTTGTTTCTGAGTATTCAGGTGATGTGACTGTGTCTTTTTCTTCCTTCAGAATGGTTGAGTTCATAATTTGAAATGAGAAATCACTGAGTGGCACTTATTTCTTGAATAAGCATTAGTTGTTATAGCTTGTCTTGGAAAAATATGATAGCATGTTAAGAAAAATATCTGCTGTTGGGACTTAATTCAAGACCTATCTTGACAAAGATATAATTGTTGGAATGTTAAAAATAATAGGCATTTAATATGTAGTCAATCACAATACAATATTGCAGTCTTTAAGCAAAAAAATACCTCCACACAGGTTAATTTGTAATATAGTTGGATCTATTAAGTAAGTTTTAGTTGTCATGCTGGCTAAGTGTCTTAAACAGAAGAAAAATTGATGCAGAGGCATATGCAAAGTTTTTTTTTGGTGTAACTGTATCCAGATCATGAGGTTGCATTTTTTTTTTTTCAATTTTTCTTTGAACCACAAGCTGTGCCTGGAGGGGACATGTCTAAGAATGTTTTTTATTTATCTTGAGTTTTTCATCTGCATATCTCAGCAGTTAGAAGCATCATCAAGTTTATACATGCTCTAAATGCAGGGATTTCCCAGCATTTATTAGTTTTTAGATTACTGAGCAATGTCAAAATTAATCTTGTAATGCAGTTGTTTGAACAGGTGGAGAGGCAGAGTTTCTTTGCAACAATTAGTGATTGTTTTTTTTTTGGTGTGCCTTAAAAACTACTTCATTGGTGTCTTCTAAATGACAAAAAAAATGTCCTCATTGAAAATTAAGTATACCTATCCAGTAAGGTATACTGCTCCAGTGAGGCACAGATTTATGTTAGCTTTTGTAGAATGGTTATACCTACTTCATGTAATAAAGCTATTCATGCAGAGACAAAATGGGATTCTTAACCTAAAACATAACTACATACTAAAAGATTATTATATTCTTGCTGATTTTGAGAAACAGTCATCCAGTTGAGAGAATATATAGTAGTCTTCCCACCGCTGGAGTAAATCCTCCAATTCCCAGTCTGTTAGTGAGTGACTGGGTCACTAACTTCATTACTCACCATTTTGGCTTGTGAGATCCAGTATCGTTTTTGGTCTTAATGCTCTAGTTGTAATAATATGGAAGTCCTGAGGGACCAGTCTGTCTGCCAAAGATCGAGGCTAAGCAAGAATTTCACAGCAGAACTTAAACATGGCAGAAACTCTCTTGATAACCTTTCTGACCACCTTTTCATAGGGGCAGAGAACTAATACTAATACAGAGAACTTTAAAATGGCATTGTGCAAACATCTTTAACCTCAGGAAAGATTGTATCTTTGTCACAGAATTGCATCGGCAAACAGCCTCAAACTGGCCTTATTGACAGATGCTGGTTTCATCCTTACTGCATTGTATAAAAGCTGTACCATAGAGGCAGAGAAATCCTGCTGAAATCTGGGAAGCTCAGCATTTTCTTCTAGTCATTCATGGATATAAGTCATTAAATTTTTATGAACGGAATACTTTTCTCATTGCCTCCTGTGTACCTTTAGCACAAAAAGTTCTTACAGTGGGTCTCCTTGTGCCCCATAGTAGAGCTGTAACCGTGTCATTTTTTATTACTAATAATGCACTTACCTCCCTTCCAATTTTATCTGCTTCCCTGTGCTTCTCTTCTGCTCCTGACTCTTGCCTGTCACAAGGCATGCTGGCATCTGGAAAGACACCATAGCATTTTAGAAGTTGAAAATACTTTAGGTTTATTTCTTTTTTTTTTAATTTGGCCCTACAGTGTGGCAGCACTGTAACATTGGGGGGGTGCAGAATTAAAAAAAAAAAGGAAGAAAAAAGAAAAAAGTGACAATTACACTTTTTTTGTAAATAGTTGGGTTATTGTGCGGGTTTTAGTACTGGTTTTTGTTGCTCAGTATTGATGTGTAGTTATGAGAGATTATTTTAATGTGTACTTTTCCTTATTGTATCACTATGTGCTCGCTCTTGTTGGAGAATTGTTAAGTTGGTCAAAAGGTGTTTAAAACCACAAAGTGAAAAATACAAAATAATGAAAGTATTGCAATGGATGGAACGAAACACAAATGTGTCTTTAGGACAAGATTAAACATAATTAGTTTTGAAATAGTTTTAGATGCTTTGGATACTTTGGATAATGTCAACTAACAGTCACTCTGCTGTGAAATAGTTACCCTTGCGTTATTCTGGGAAGGAATTTGTTCAAACAAAAAGCTGAAGCAGATTTATAACATGGTAGATCTGATTTTTTTACAGAATAATATGCAGATAAAATTTCAGACTGATGAATTACATAATTTTTTAGATGTTTTCTTGGCACCCATCTTTGTTACTTGTTGTGCAGTAGTGGAGTTGTTCTTATTCCTTAAGAGAAAGAAGAAAAGCTAGACCAAAATTCAGAGTAATATCCTGATTATGGGGGGAGATATAAATAAGTAAAATAGATAATGGTGCTTGGATGAGCAGGCACCATTTGTTTTCTCCAGTTGGCAGATGCTGTAGTTGGAATTTCTTGCTTGGCGCTGATATCCTTTAGACTCCATTTCTTAGCATAGAAGTGCTCAAGATTGCTAATGAGGTGCCATGCTGGTGTTGCTGTGTATCTCTGCTGTGTTCTGCCACACAAAATAAATTTTTTAGAAAAGAGAAGCTGCTCCCTCTCTTTTCCTGTGGGAAGGTGTCATTATTACTTTACCTCTGCTAGCAGTCTATGAACCCCAAAGCTTTAACACAGCATGCTAGAGCAGTTTTGATGTGTTTGCATTATGGGAGGGTTAGGTCTTGAGATAGATAGAAAAGAAAACACGTCTTGAATGAGTTTGGAAACAAAAGCTTCTTTCATTTAAAACACTCAGCAGATGAATGCCAAGTCAAGACTTTGAGGCACTGACTGCTTGCACTGACCTCCTTCCCTCACATTTTTGCAAGGTGACAGGAGTATATTGAATAAACCAGCTTGGTGCAAAGTTTTAGCTTTCCAGCCTTTCAGCATTTAGCAAGACCAGTCACTGCCTCATCGCATCTTTCATCCTGTTTATACGTAATACGGGGTGCTAGAGATGTGTGTGCAGCCTGAGCTGCATCCGGTGCCTCTTAATGTATGAAAACAAGGAGTCCCAATCACCACAGCTGGAACAAAGTCAACATTGAATGATAACTTACATTATTAGTGTATCTTTGAAAAATGTGCACAGTTTGTGGTTGGCAGACTGCTTGCGTTAACCTTCCATTAAAGAGCAAAATAAAGAATATCATCAATTTTGGTTGAGGTACTCAATTTTTGAATTGAAAGAATTCAAGAGAAGAGGTATTTGCTTTCTGAAATGGCTAAGAAAAAGTCATGAATTGATACAGTTATAAGATTTTTTTTTCAATTTTTTTTCCTCCAACAGATGCCTTCAGTATTTTTCTCTCTTTTAATCTGGGTATTTAATCTGTACAACAACTAGCTTGCTTTTCTATTAAGCATTCACAAATTATTATCATTTTATAGCTTGCACTGTTGGGTTTTTATGACACATAATCGTTCAAGCAGATACTCAAAGTGAGCTCATTTCATTCATTTTATATCTTCAGATAGATAGTTTTTAATTTATATGAGTTTGAAATTTGCTTTCCAAAAATGACAAGGAGGTGTACTTTTGAATGCTGGAAAAAAGATTATAGTTGTTTTTTCAGCAGGATTTTGTGCCATGTATACATAAATGTAGGTGCATGATTGAAAAGAATACACAAGTTCTGAAAAGTATACGGATTTAAAAAAAAATGTGGATTATTTTGTGTGTGTGACTTTTGTTTTGTTTGTTGTTTAAGCTCACTTATTTTTTATTACCTGGTGAATTTATCCATCCACCCTGAAACTAAGCAAATGACTCACTGTTTTACATAAGGGAAGCCTCCATAATTTTAAAGGCTCTTCAAGTCAAAGCTGTCTGTCTTTAAGTCTTAATTTAGTTTAATGCTGCTAGTACACTTCAAAGATACCAACCTATCAACAAAAAATCTGATCTGTGTTGAAATACACTAGGTTAGGTTTTGGGTGTTTTTTAAGCATATTAAGCGCACACAAACACATGAAGTTAGTTTGCTGATGGAGCTTCAAAAGGTGTAACTAGATGAATTTTAGTAAAATGTATGATGAAACAGACTTTTTAAGTATTTGCTATGTATTTATTGTAATTATGACTCAGGAGAGTAGGCAATTATATATGGGAACTAGGCTATGATCCGCTTTTACTGGCCCAACTCACTCTGTGTTTTCTAAACCCAGGATTTTATAAAGTAATCATTGGGGAACTTAGCTTATGTAACCTGGATAACATTTGAAATGTCAAGTAACTTTATAAGGTGTGGCTTCCATCTTGAATTTAATCTAATAAAATTTTTGAGGCAGATTTAGGTGTGGAGTAAAAATTATGTGAAATAGTGGTTCATGAACGCCTGCCTTCTGTCACAAAGAAATATCATTTTGCAGTTAGGAGTAATTCAAGTTGGACTTCATGAGACAGTAGGTCTAAAGTGCTAAATGTAGCTTGTCTTAAAATACTAAAATTTCTCAATATGTTAAAAGGGGAAACAAAAGTTAGGAGATTGATAGTTTTAGTAGAAGATAATTGCCTTTGGCTTTAAATGGTGGAGGACCCACAAACTGTTAGGAAAACCAATAAGGATCTTACATGGCATTTATAAGCCTCAGAATATACTATAAGGATGCATAAGAACCTTCAGTACTCTTACTTTAAGCAGAGAAAATGAAAGTAAGAGGAAAAATTGATAATTCAGTTAATGGGAGAATTCAGAGCTTGACTGAAAAGACCTGTAATACCGAGCACTGGACAAGTGAAGGTGGATTAGAAATTTTCTAATTCACACTTTTTTCTTCCTGTGTTCTGATAATAAAGCTGTCTTGGCCTGAAATATAAATAGTAGCAATACTATTGCACTGTACTTGAAATTACTGAAATACGTGGGACCAGCACGCCACTAATAAAATAAATTTTCTGCTGTGAGTGGAGATGCCTTCTTACCCATGTGCAAAATGTGTAGGAGTTGTCACTGGCAGTTGCAGTGCAATGCTACTTACCTCTTGGTTTTAAAACTTTGTACGGGGAAATAATTCTCTTAAGGAAATTTAAACTTCACAGCAATTTTTTTTTCAGTGTTTGGGAGCGTGTTCTGGCTGGGTTCTCAGGCCTTTTATGAGTTTAATGTTAAAGTAAATTTTCATGGTACATCCTTTTTTAAATACAGCCATTGGTATTTATTGTGAAGGGGAAGGGAAGGAAAAGGTTGAGGAAAACTCTGGGATCTTCATTCTTCATGCAATCTGAATGTTTTTAACATCAATTCAGAACAAAAAAAACGCCTGAATTTGGGATGTCTGCTAGGATCAGAGAAGTATTTAATGTCATAAGGGGAGGAAAACATGTTGTGTGACTTTAAAAAAAATCAGAAAATTTCCCGAGATTTAAAACTTATTGTTTCTATGTTTGTATAAAATTTTAATTGTTTAACTGCATGAGATGGTTCTGCTTATTTTCTGGGGAATTTCAATTAATGTTTTCTTTCTGTGCTTTGTTTTGTTCAAGTTCCCTTCAGAGAAGAAGAAATATGGGCCTTGTAAATATTTCTTGCACTGGGAGGCAAATTTCACAAAACAGTGAGTTAAGCGTGCTGATATTTATGTCTTGAATAGTAAAGAAAAATAAACCTTGAACTTGTTGTCTGAAATAACTATTACTTACATATTTTAAGAAGTATTGGGCATCTCAAAGGTCTAGAAGAACTGATTTATGTGATAGGATTGAATCAGTTCTTCATTTTTACTTCCTTTTGAGTATGTTGAAATAAAAAAAAAAATAGAAAATCTTCTCTTCAAGCCCCATTTATTTTAATATATATATTTAGACTAGTGTTTAAGTTTCTAATATTAGATCCAGATTTTTTTTAAGCAGAGTTAATTTCTTGAAACATATAAGAAGTGTATTCCTGACTAATGCTGCTTAAGTTGTTTATAAGTGCTCGTAGCTCCTGGAAAGAACAGGAAATTTATTGTATTAAATAGTTTGCTGAAGTGTTTTGAAGTCTTGTGCAGTCAGCTGGAAACTTCTTCCATATTTAAAAAATGTCTTTTTTGAAGTTATATGTTTATTTTAAAAAATACTTGGTGACAAAATGAAGATGGTGCACAAAAGAGTTGTGTGGTGGTTTATTTTTGGTATTTTTTAAAAGTCAGAATAAAGAGCTTTGGAGCTATTGCTTCTTAGAGTAGACCATTGAAGGTTTTTTTATTGTAACTTGATGCAGGATAGGAAAGAAGAAAATCCCTGTATGCCAGTTATATTCAAATTACATAATAATGTTAATATCTATGCTGAAAAGAAGGTATCTGGAGTTCATGTAGAAATACTTGATTGAAAACTTGTTCCTCAAAGTTTTTTCTGGGAAGGACAGAGAAATTGCAAGCTGCACAATCCGTTTCCCTTGTTGATTTCATTATGACTTTAGCAGAGCGTTTGTGACTGACAGTAGAGCACTGTGTGACTGTATCTATTTATTTATTATTTATTGATTTGCTTTAAGATACTTCCATGGAAGAAAAGCCACCCATTATCTCTCCATATGGGGAAACCTTTATTTGTGACAACGCTAAAGATGCTAAAGTAAGTTGAGAAGCCTGAATGTATATAGTCTGTCTTCACTTTAATCTTCATGCTGGGTATTGCATACTGGCTTAATTTTTTTGGTGCTCTTTTAGTTGCTAGTCCTTGATTTTTGTCATTTTAGGTATATGCAAAGGGTTTATGGTGTAAATATATGAGGACTAATGTAATGAGTTTTGTTAATCCCAAGAAACACTTTGGATGTTTAGTAGTAATAAGAAGCTGCAGTGTATGTTTTGGTTGTTTCTTGGTTCATAATTGAGGTTAAGCTGTTGAAATTTGAAACCGTTAGAATTTACTAAGAATGCTAAAAGTGGCTTTTCTTCTCATCTGAGAATTGCAGATCAGGACTGGGTGTCTCTGCACAGACTTTTGCATATCCTGTGAAAGCAGCTTGCACATTAGGTTAGGTGATATGATGGTCACATTTGGCCATGCCCCGTTTCAGTTCCTGTATATGAAATTCTCAGGACTTGTAGGTTCTTGCGTGACGTTTTTCATGCATCTCCCAAACTTGCTGTATACCCCGAAAGTCACTTTTCTTTTAAGATTCTCTGAAGTGAATGTTTTTGCTGGGGTCGGTAGTTGGTGTGAATGACACAGATGACATGTGGACAGACTTCTGAATCACGTGCAGGGAGATATGGGAGGTAAATTAGCTTACTGAGGCATCTGCCCAATGCCATTAGTTTCCAGCTCCTGCTTCTGTCTCAGCAGGAGGCAGACCAGAAATTGTTGATTCTGTGATTGCTTATACTTTCTCCAGCCAGTCTCAAGCCACAGAATTAAAGACAACAGAAAATTCTCCTGCCCTGGTCTTCAGTCTAATGGTTCATTTGTAAACTATTGTAAACTATTGACTAAAATAAAAACTACTCAAATGGATGTCTAGGATTTTTCTTCCATTCTAATTTCTTTAGAATTGATCAATAAAAGTAAACGGTTCAAATTTTTGTCTTCCAATGAGAGTAGGAAGACAAAATTTGAATTTCCTGTTACTTTTATAGGAATAAAAGTAATCTCTTTTTGATGCATACTTTTTTTTTGGATGTATACTATGTTTTTTTTGTTCTTGTTGACCTTTTAACACAGTACACATAAAATCATACCTTGCCTTTCCTAGTTGTTCTTGTTATGTGCACGCAAAGCTGACCTTTGAGCGTTCATTTTGTTTCCTTGAATGCAATGCCTTGTCTGTGCTAGTTGTTGTCCGTACTAATGTCTTTAAAAATTCAAAATTTACCTTTTGTAACTGTTTCAATCGTCTAAGCTGATTTTGTAGCAGTTTCCTAGGTCTCTTGTTACTTATTAGCATTTTTCTGTACATTTCATTGAAAGGGTTGTTTATGAAAAAGCATATCCAGAAAGCTTGTCGGCACTCTTTCTTATCTTACAAAGGCACAAAGTACAAAAATACCATGCTGTTAAACTGGGTTAACTGCTTGAAACTAAATTGCTATTTTGCTGGTTCTAGAATCATGATTAATGCAGTGTATTATGACGTCCTTTACCTGAGCTGAAGATTTGGATTTTAATATCACTTCCATGTATGTGAACAGTTTCTTACATTATGTTTATCACATGCCTGTTGGAAACATCATAGCTGATTTTAGTTCCATTAGCACTTAATTGTGGCAAAGGTCATAAAGAAGAACTATGTAACAAGCATCTTGAGATACATTTCACTTTCAGATTTTTTTCAGCAGAAGCAAATATCCTAGGAACACTTAAGAGTATTTAGATAACACTGTAAAGTGTCTGAGATTTTAGGGCTTGTTGCTGCTGCTTCATGTTAAGTCATGAGAGTATAGTTTGTCCATATGAATAAAAGGTGTCCAGCTATTATACTTAAGACTGAAATTTGTTCTAAGGCCTTGTAAGGTGGCCATCACCCTTCCTTCTCTTTCATTGGTGTAAAGAAAAGGCTTCTGTAGGCTTTTGTGAAGGGAGTGACTGTATAAATATGTAATGAGTCACTCCTGACTGGAAGTGAGCATGAGAGAACAGGGGAATGAAGGTTATAAAGAAAATATCCCTTTGGTTTGGGTCAGGAGGAAAGATAAGTGTAAAGAGAAACTTCTGAAAGGCAATCTGAAGAAGGAGCTGGGGTTTTTAAAATGCTGATTTAAAAACAACACAAAAATTCAAGTGTTTTAGTGACATTTTGTTGTTATGTCTGACGAAAGGAGTCAAGTATATTAGGATTCCTCCAGAGGAAGACTGAATTCTAATGAGAGTAGGCCTCATGAGTGACATACTGGCTTTATGTCTTGCTGTAGACAGACTAAATTAAACATGCAATCTGAGCTCAGTAAATTGTGTGAGCTGAGTATTGGGATACTGTGGAAGGCTGGCTGCATTGCATTTCATGAGAAAATGCTTTGTGTAATACCTCAGACACTTGAAGGAGGTGGGAATTTTATCTTGTATTGAGCCTGAGCATCTTGTAGGATATTTCTGCAAACAGGACAATGCAAATGCTTGGGTTTTCATTTGTTTGAAATAGATTTTTGTGAGCAAATAGAACTTCCTTTACTCACAACTTGTCTTCATTTGTGGACTTTTACATTTTAAATTCTACTGACAATAGAAATGCATTTCTTAGTTATTGCTTGGAAATTATCTGACTCTCTGAATTCACTTGCTCAAGCACTGAAGATTATGGAGTGAGCAGAAGCAGGACATCAAACTGTTACTGTAGTGGTTCTTGACAGGCAGGAAGAGGTATTATCATCTAGCTTCAGTGGGTATGGATTTCAGTTGTATCCTCATAAACAAATGAAGATAAAGGACACTGACTATTTTTACTCTGAGGATGTTTCATGCACCATGATATTAGCCTCTTAACTATTGTGCAGAAGTGTGGCCCTTTCCCCTTCTTTTGGGAGATTCCAGGCAATGGAAATACTTGATAAACAGTTGATAATTGCTTTTGAGTTTTCTATTTAATTTGTCTACAAAGTACATTGATGCTTTTTGCTTAGTTTTTTATAGGGTTTGTTTGGTTGCTTTTATTGATGTGTTGGGGAGTTTGTGTTGTTTTTTTGTTGGTTTTTCTTTTTTTCTTTTTTTAGCCCCTTTAGCTACAGCGCAGTACTGCGATGTGTGGGTGGTTAGGTTTTAGTGGGTTTTTCTTTTTATAACGGGTCTGGTTGGCAGAGGAAGACAGACATTCACCTAGATTTATCCTAGCATCAGACTGATTTCTGCACTTTTGCTGCACACTTCCTCTGCTTTGAACTGTCTTTTTTTAGTCTTGCCTTTCCATGTTACCAAGGTGCAGTCCTCAAGTGCAAGATTACTTTCTGCTACTCAGAAAACAAATGGCAATGTTGTGAAAGCCTATCCACTTTGTTTCTGCCATTGTTCAGCTTCATTACATACACATAAAAGCTTAAATGAGTTGATTAAAACACTTCTTCCAGAAAGCATGAAGATGTTCAATTTAGGGTTTTTTTTTAAGGAAGAAAGACATACTGAAAAGCCTAGTAGTGCAATATGATTGTCAGATTAAGTTTAGGAAGTGTGAAATGTAATGTTCACGAGCAGTGTTAACCTTGACATTTTGTACACTGCAAGCAGTTTACAAAGCAGTGTGATAAAGATTTCTAAGCAAAAGTTAATAGATGAGCCTTTTAGGAAGAAGTTCTTGGCAAGAAATAACCCAAAAAAACCCTAATGACATATATTCAGTGTGTCTTGGTTCAGTTTTGCTTTAGGATTTTGATTTTGCCATTAAATGTTCTGTGAAGGCTGTTCATTTATTCCCAAGAAGAAATATTGTTATGAAAGATAGGCTAGCAGTGGCAAATTATAAATGGTACTTAAGCTGCATGTAACTTGTGACTCTTGAGCTTAAAAAATATTCAGTTGTTGTGGTTTAACCCCAGCTAGAATTAGAACACAGCTGCTTGCTTGCTCCCACTGCAGTGTGGAGACCTGGAAAGCAAGTGACCTCTTAGATGGTGGAATAAGGCCAGCTTAATAATTACTACAAAGCAAAATGTAATTATAATACTAATGCTGATAGTAACTCTAGTGGAAAGGAGAGAGCATGAGGCTGCGTGCTGTGGAACGTCCCTTTGGCCAGTTTGGCTCAGCTGGCCTGGCCATGCACCCTCCTGGCTTCCTGTTCCTGTGCTCAGTGGCAGAGCATGGGAAACTGAAGTCCTTGACTTAGAGTAAGCTGTACCCAGCAACATCAGTGTGTTATCAACATTATTCTCATTCTCAAATGCAAAACATAGCTATGTACTGTGAGAAAATAAACTCTATCCCTGCCAAAACCAGGATGTCAGTGGTGCCTTGAGAAAAATCAGAGCAGTGGTATTTCTATACACTGAATCTCTTTATCTGATTTGTTTGTATCAGGTTTTTTGGGCCATGCTTAAATGTTGGAAATAACATTTCTTAGAATACAAAAATCAGCTTTCAAGTGCCTGTTTGAAAATGGGGGAAAGAACAGTGCTGCTAGCTAGGCTGTTTGTGTGATTTGTATCTACAGTAATTTAAATATCACTTTTTCAGTTACAAATGTTTGTTGCAATATATTTCTTTTCTAGGAACTTCATGGAAATGATTTCCTGGCTTGTGAAAATAAATTGGATCTAGGAATGAATGAAGAATATTCTTCTAAGAATCTATGGTATTAAATAAGAATTACTGAGAAACTCAAAGTGTAAAGAAGAAAATGCTATTTACTGATGTCACAAGTTGATCTTGTGGGCACAACCATGACTATATATTTTTTTCTTCGGTTTGAGGCTTTACCCCATCGTATATAAGGCAAATCTGGGCACTGTGGCTTTTCTGAGACTATTTAAACTAGGTTTCAGAATCTCTTGTTAATTTGGAGAGCGTCCCTGTTTTCCCCAGTCAGAATAAGGAAGACCAAGTTGCATTTTTGTATGTCTCATAGCTAGTTGTGTCTGACTGCTCGCATAATTTACTTTGTCATTAGAGAAAAACCAACTCATCCAAACAAGCACAAAACTGAAACACATTCACCACTCCTGTCCTGAGATGGTGGCCAGTGGCTTGGTGCAGTGGGAGCTAATGTGCTTCTCAGTTATCCAGTCTGCACCAGGCTCCTGTTGAGCTGGGAGAGGGAAGAGAGAGGTGATACTGAAAGTTGTCAAAAGTATTCAGAAGAGCAAAGCTAGTTTTCTGAGGAAGGAGAATTTACTTTTAAATTTCTGTTCAGGCTTCCCAAAGGAGTGTTATCTTGACACTATGCCTGTCGAATGGAGAAAGTAGGATTCAGAGTGGTCATAGTTATAAGATACGTTGTGTTTAGCAGGTCTGTGGTTCACTGTGATTATACAAGTTATAAACATAATATACTTTACCAGTATTTGTTCTAATTACTGATTTTATATACTTGTGCATTGTAGTAACACATTTTAAAAGTCACTTTTTCTTTCCAGTTACTTGAGTAATCAGAAGGAGAGGACAAAAGAAATTGCAAAAAATGAATCCTTGTCTCAGGAAGACCCATCATTAACACCAGAAGAATCTGAAAGTGAATCTGTATATTCTACTGTGGAACAACATACTTTGTCTTTAAAAAAAAGGAAAAATAAAACCAAAACACACTCAGCATCTTGCAGTAAGATACAAAGTGGAGATTCTGATCGCTTGGCCAGTGAGCAAATGAATTTTTGGCAATTTGGTGGAGATCAGACTTTGATTGGAAATGAATCAATAACACCGTATGCTTGCTTTTATGGACCATCAGTAAAGAAGGTTAAAGCAGGATGGCTGGATAAATTATCCCCTCAAGGGTATGGTATTTGCAGTAGTTATTGTGTAACTGTGACAGTGTATGCTTGCATGAGAGATATTAAGTTTGTATTTAGTCACTGCTTAATGTTTGTAGTGGAAGGGGAAAGGGAATTGTTTTCATTGAAAGAGCACGAAGCTTTTGTGAATTTAAAAGTTTTTAGTGAAGTTACCTATTCTAAAGTTTTTTTACGAGATGTACTCAGGGAAGATATTTTTCTTAAAATTGTTGATCTCTACTCATGAGCTATAGTGGAAAAATACAGAATGAAGTTGTGCCAGTATTTCCAGTTACTAAATTTTTGCTGATCTTTTGTGGTCCACAAAGTAAGTGAAAGAAAACTCTGATTCTGAAATACTACTTTACTAATTTAGCTGTGTATTATAATTTAATAATTAGTGTGACTGGAAGCTCTGTTGCTTTCTGTCTGTGTTATTTGAGCTTTGAGTTTAGAATTCAACTGGGCTGAATTCCTTCTATTTAATTTAATTTTTGTGCCTAAAATTTGATGGTAGAAATTTGAGCTCAATTCTCAAGATTACAAGTAATGAAGAGAAGGGACCACAATAGAAAATAAATTCTCTCTGTCACATTTGGGAGTTAGATGACAACAACAATAACAACAACAACATATCTTATATTTGATTTCTGTTATAAGTTCTTTGTTTTATTGAAGCTGATTTTAAACTCCAGCTATCATTAGACTGTTTTTCACTAAAGAATGCTTTGTTAGCAGATTTTCCATCATAAATACTTGCTAACTCTCATAAGTTGTTCTGACTTCCTCCTTTTAAATTGTGGTTTTCAGTTTCTATTTTTCTTATAACCTATGTTCTTATGAATTCTGTGAATCCTTTTTTATAATCGAAAGTGGCACAATTTTATTTTTAAGTCTGTTTCTGATCTTCACTAGGACTTAGCATCTAGAAATTAAACCTGTTGTACTTGTTAGTGCTAAAATACACCTACTGCACTTCTATTCAAGCCTTAATAAATCTGCATTCCTTGTTATTAGGACAGTATACTGAGCTGTGCTGAAAGGTATTAAAGTTTTTGGCCTTTCCTTTGATTGTTTTTTGCCATAATAATCATCAGCAATATAATTCAGTATATATAATATATAATTTTTTTTAAGTGAGAAATTTATGTTATTATGTTATTGCTTTGGAATAAAACATTATTTGAACTCGCAGGAAGAAGCTCTGTTGTATAGCAATTTCCATTTTTTTTGTGTTCCTTTCTAGGGAATTGATTTGATATTATATAGTTTTTTAATTTTTTTGTGTTGATGCACTTGATACATTGTTGACAGTGATTACTAAGATGGAATAAAAGGTTTAATAAAACTTTTTTACCATCACAGAATTTCAGTGTGCTCAAAACTATTTTCTTTCCTTTTTAAATTGTTTTGAAAGTTTTGTCCACATTTATGGATTGCCATTGTTCACCTTTACTAAAGACTCAAAGAATAATTACCCACAGAGTGTTTCCACATTTCTTTTTTTTTTTCAGAATTATTGGGATATTGAACTCTTGGAAAGCTGCAGTTAGCTGTAACTCTTGTTGTATTTTTTTTACAGGATTTTTTAAACACTTTTGGCAGTTAGCTAGTGGAATGATGAAAAGTATAATTCTTGATTCCAGCTGGCTTGTCTTGCTCCATTTGGAGGGATAGAGTTGGGAACAAGTTATGAAAACTTCAAGAAAGTGCCATGGGAAAAATTTATTATTTGGAAAAGATAATGAGTTAACCACAAAATTAGTAGTGATTAGTACTGAGTAGAAGAGTTGCATGGTCATTAGCCTTGATGCAGTGACAGTCCACAGCTACATTTCAAGGACTTTGTCTCAGGGGTGGTTCAGTGAATGATACACTTTTGTTTCTTTTACTTACAATACCATTTTTCAAGTATCCGAAGAATTAAAAAAACTCAGCTGAATTCTAAAAGAATTTTTTTTCAAACTATTGAAGCGCTGTCTTATTTTATTCTCATTCTTTTTGTAAAGCTCCAATTTACACCCAGAAGTTTGTGATTCCTTGGGAAAAAGAATATATACTGTTTTCTTAAATTGATAGAAATCATGCAATTAAAGTATGGGCTCTCTTTTTTTAGTTAATTCTCTATAAATTCTGCAGTCTTTCAGTTTGCTCACATTGCATGTGGTACTTAGGTTCACTCGTGCCTGTATAATCTTGAAGTTTATTGACATTTTAATGCAAAATAGATGGTACATTGGCCTTTCCAGGTTATGAAAAATGATGATTTATTGTAGTCATATAATGCAAGTTAATTAAGCCAGAGCTGCTATTTGATTAAAGTTTTGATAAGCTATCACAGTCTACTAATCCTAAAGCAGAGCACTCATTTAAAAGAAAAGGAAATAATGTTGGGAAAATACATTAGTGGGGTCTTGTTCTTGCCTAATTAACTTGTTTAATAGATTTTAGAATGGAGAGGTTTTTAGATGATAACTAACAAGCTGTCAACATTTTTAGTGAGTGTAATGGACTACTTCAGGTTAATGTAAAAATATATTTTTAGGAGGTCTCTATAGAGTATGAGTTAATGGCATACTGAAAGTTTCCCATTAATGATGTCCAGTTGATAACACATTGAAAATTAAATTTCATGTTGTACTTGTTGGGAGATGTGGTGTGCTGCTATCCATTCATTGGCCAGAAAACAGAGTCCTGGGGAGCTGTGTTGACGTGGAATGGCTGGAGGTACCATACCAGCAAACAGATGTCATAAGCACAACAGTGAGATGGTAATTTGAGGTTCTCAGCTTTCATTTTTGGAAAGTGTCTTAATAGAGCTTGTGGTGACTAAAGTTATGCTCTATGTTCCGAATATTCATTTGAACAGAAATATGACCTCTCTATAATTGTGATTGAGACATTCTTAAAACCAGTGTTAGCTGTATATTAATTGTGTTAATTTTTGATTTGCAGCAAACGTGTGTTTCAGAAGCGCTGGGTTAAATTTGATGGAGAGAGCATTTCTTATTACAACAATGAAAAGGTAAGAGATACCTTTTGGTCATGTTCGGAACAAAATGCGTCTGTGTAATACACCAAGTACTGTAATTAGAATCTGAGGAATTAGAAATGAATAGCCATCCTAGGTTAATTTTCAATTCTAAAATACTAGGGTGAGATGTAATTAAGTATTTTAAGGTGTCCATGTCTTCATGTATTGTTCATCCTTGTATTTTCTAGAAGGGGTTGTATTACTCACCTTTCCAGGTAGATATCATCAGATTTGTTTTTACTTTAGTGAGAGACTGACACTGCTGCTGTTTTTGGAACAGAACAGGATCATGCTAAACACTTTCAAGAGAGATGTTATTTGATGGTTTTTGAAGAGTGTCTTGTCATGGGAGCCTAGCATGCTGGAGATTGTGAGAGCACCATTAAAAGTAGCATGGAAGACCATTTAAACAAAACCAACCCAAACCTATACACTTGTTGACTCTTTGATTAAAAATGTCTTTTTTCTATTTGTCTTCTGTGCATAATTGCATGTCATGGAACTAGGTTAGGTTTGAATGGGAATGTTCAAAACCAGTTCTACAATGTATATGGCTGGTTTTGTTTCTGTACTGAGGATTGAATCCTGCTGGAACGTTTGCAGACACGTGAGCTGCTTTGATTAAAGTAGTTCGCGTCTTATATGTGCTACAAAAATGCATTTGTAAATTATAGTTTTCAGCAGAGTGTATTCCTTGTAATTCTCTTAGAATTCCATGGGATTACCCTTCAGAGCACTACAAAATCCTTTTTCTTTTGCTCTGTGATTTAATAATTAATATTTCCTCTTGGAAGTAGTGAAGACCTTCTTAGACTTAAAAGTGATAGATGATTTTACAATATGCATGTTAAGGGAAGTTGCGGTTCCCTTCCCTGTGCATGTGTGTTACTTTGTTTAAAGGCCATTTCCTGTTGAAGATGCATATTAGATTAGGAAGAAAATACAGTTTCAGGTAAAAGTTCTGAAACAGTGGTGATTGGTGGTAAGAGATCTATAGATGCCTTAAGATGGGGTGAGGATGTGAGAACTGAAGTAGGATGAGACTGTTTATTTTCTGAGGGGCTGGGGAACTAAGAAAAAGCTCAAAAATACTTACATCAGTCTTTTTGCTTACTGATTGCAAATTTGAAACAATCTGTTTTTACTTGCTTACTTTGCTTCACTTACAATAGAAGACTTGATTTTGTAGGTGAAGGGAACAATAGAATAAGGAGAATAATGTTTACATTCCAGTGACAAAAAATGGTACCCCTTTGCAGTATTGATCCCACAACTTCAGAGGAGCAGAAAAGCAGGGTTGATCGTGAAGAAAGACTTGAAAAAAATAGAGAAATGGAATTTGCCTAATGCTGTCTGTAGCATAATTAGGGAAAGAAATGCTAATAAAGAACTTAGTCTTTTATCTGCTCTGGGAATTTATTTTTATTTTTTTTCTTCCTTTTGAAAGTCACTGAAAGGGTTACTTGGAGGTCAGTTATGCTAGAATGGCATTTGTTATATGTCTGTTTGTCATAAGAGATTCCTGAAGTATTCCCTTCTGCTGAATCGAATGTTTAGTGTGTCACATGATGCATAGGAAGCCACCAACTCTGCACCCTCTGTTTAAAAGGTCTGTGTGGTAGGTTAGGCTATCAGCAGCTTGGCAAACACTTGTGTGGAAGCCTCTTTGTCTCACTTTTTCTGGAATCTGAGTCCAAGCCTCACTCTGGGTATTGAAGGAGAGTCTGCTTGGTCTCTGTGTATAGTTTGACCACATTTGGGTGTCTGACTTGCTAACTTGGTGAGTCACATACGTGAAGAAATGTTATATCTGAGAACTGCAAAGCCTGAAGCAAAATTCTGGGAACTGAGGATTTGGTGAAACTCAAAATAGTTTGCAGGTAGGAGGAAAACATAGTTGGGTACCAGTATTTCTTAGCGCCCAATGGGATTGTGCTGAACGAGCAGTGGTGTCACTCAAGAAAATGAGTTTTTGGTGTGGTGGTCTCTGCTGGATCACTGTCTCCACACCTAGGGTGTTCATATTTCATGTAAGATGGATATCAGCATTTTGCTGCTGTTGCTTGTGTGTTGTTACCTTGACATTATAAACAATTATTTGCAGACCCATCAAGACCTGTGTGCAGCTTGAGCCCCTTGCAAGGTCTTGCATGTCTCCCTTCCTACTACATAGCTGGCCATTTATATATTTAAGTGGGGAAGTTGTTGTTTTAATTTTAGAACTTAATGGCAAGTTCTGTCTATTCTAGTCTGTGTTTGTCTTAGGACGTTGCTACACAGACAAGAAATTATACTTTCGTTTTCATGTGTATAGAAGAAATTCATGTTATAAAGAAATTATACTTTTGGTTTCATGTATCAATTAAAAGTAGTTCTCAGAAGGAAACCAATCCATACTTGATATTTTTCTTCTTATTGCAAGCAGAGAAGGTTAGGCTCAGTGGAATGGAACTGTTTATTTTACCCAGAAGCACTACTGATATTAAATAGCGCTATTTGTCATTCAAATTAGGAGCTGGAGTGAGGTTCTCAAGAAGGGGAAGTGTACTACATGGCTAATGAAGAGTGAAATAACCAGAGACTATAGGGGGAAGACACAGAGAATATTATTCCTGAAAATGCCCATATGAATACTTCTTTGAATGATTTAAACACAAATTTTATACATATTTTTCTGACCTTGTTTTAATTGTCTATCAACTTCTGCTTGATAGAGATCTCTTTTTTACTTTGTATACTTTGTATCTGCATACATGAAAAAAATGATTCAGCTTTTAACAAACAGCATCTGACCTAGGGAAAGTTTTGGGTTGAGTCTGTGTTGCTCTCATTTCTTCTGTGTTCCTGGTCCTGAGAAAGCTGATGCAATCAGAGCAACATCCCATGTGGCTTTGTCTCAAAAGAGTGTGGTTAACTGAGGAGGGGAAGGTAGAATTTGAGTTGTTTTTTCAGCTACCCTATATGCACAAGTTTTGCTTCAAATTGCTTCCTACTTTAGGCAGAAATCTGGTGTTTTACCACACACTTTATAGTAAGGCAGAAACTTCTGGTTACGTTGAAAGTTTTTATTTAAAACAGCTTACCATCCCTGACAATTATATTAGTGATTTAGGAAAAAGATTTCACACTTCAAGTGGAGAACTTCAACATTTTGTTGTGTCACAGTACAAGTGAACATTACAAAGAGCAAAATTCACTGCAAAACAGATGAATCACTGTCATTCTTGAAATGCTTCTGTTGTAGAAGTAAAACCAAAGTAGTCAAAAATGGTATTTTCCATGATCCGTTAGCTCATCTCTGAATCACGACCATCGAGGAGTGATATGGTGAGGCTTTATTTGAAAATTAAATTTTCTGCCAAACAGGTGATACAAAAAACCCAAACATTTTGCTTTTCCCTGCTGGAATTTTTTTTGTTAGAGAACTCTTAGCAGCTTTAAAGCTAGTTTACACCACTCAGTAACAGAATAAATAGCTGTGAAGTTCTTGGCTGTGTTTGTTTTGGTTTGTTTTCTATATTCTTAAATAATTCACCTAATTTCTAGTCTGGAGTATTTCAAAGAGAGTTATTGTATCTTGATCTACAAGAGCTTTTTAACAGGCATTATTTTTGCACATGAAAGAAAAGCTGCTGCACAAGAAAAATAGATTGATAAATTATTATGGTTTAAACTGTATTTGAAAATATGTATGCCTTGGAGAACAAAGCTTTCAAAAGGATAATGGATGATTGTTTAAATAGCAAAGCAAAACTATGCTCAGTTTAAAAGGAAATTGACTTTTTTTTAGCAAATGAAATAAAATAGTTGTAACTTCCAGCAGTCTGTTATTCTCTCGCAGTAGTACCGAATACAGCCAGTAGATGCCTGCAAACACCATAACATATTTATAACTGAACTCCTACAGAAACAGTAGATGTAAAAATTTTGTTTTACCATGGAAGGATCAGTAGTTAACTTAATATCCAACCTCATTAAAATATATTAAAATCACTCTTTTAACAAATATAGCCATAATGAAAATAGCTATGCAATTCTATCTATTGTCATTCTGAGTATTCCTTGTGTGTAACTGTAGTAACATACTTGCTTCTGCAATGTTCCAATATTTCTATTTATTTATCACTAAACTACCTTTGCTGACATATATTAGTATCACAAAGTGAAACAACATTAGTATATTAAACTCAGTAAACAAAAAATGATCCAGTGTATCCTTTCTGCTTCACATTTACAATGTTCCTCGAGTGCTTGTATGAAGTCTGTTATAATACTTTGGGAGGGAAGTTATTACAGAGCAATTTCTTTATGGGAAGCTGACTCTGACTATTACTGCATCTGAAACATAAATTTTATCAGGATATCTGACTTGTCTTGGTCAGAAAATGAATTTATGAAAGTGTAGTGGAGACAAGAGCAGCATTAACTCTGGAATCCAGAAATAATGCAGATGTATTTCTGAAGTGCACGTCTGCTTCAGCTTTCCTTCCTGTCAACCCTCACCCCAAACCCTTAGGGTAATTAGTTTAAAAGGTGAGCTAATTGAAGGAAGTACTTGTAGCAGTCCCTTTCTCCCATCTTGCATTTGTGTTCCATTCAGTTGTCCAAATACCTAGTTGGTAATCTAAAAAGACTGGGAAAATTTGTGCTGACCCCAAATTATTATGGTTTAACCTCAGCCAACAATCATGCCCCACACTCACTCTTCTCACAGCTAGGATGGGGAGATAATCAGAGGAATAAACATGAGAACTTGTGGGTTGAGATACACACACTTTAGGAGGTAAAGCAAAAGCTGTGCACAAGCAAACCAAGGAGTTCATCCACCACTTCCATGGGCAGGAAGGTGTTTGGCAATCCCCAGGACAGCAGGACTCTGTTCTGCTTAATGGTTACTTGAGAAGACAAACTCCATCACTGTGAACATCCCCCAGCTTTGTGTCCTGAACGTGCTGCCATGTGCTGTGGATGTCCCTCAGGTCTGCTGGGCTCAGCTGTCCAGGCCGTATCACCTCCCATCTTCTTGTGCTCCTCCAGCCTCCTCAGGGCTGGGGTGGGCCGAGGAGCAGAAAAGGCTTTGATTCTGTCTCAGCACTGCCCAGCAACAGCTGAAACATCCCCGTGTTGTTGTGAACCCTATTTCTATCGTCAAGCACAGCTCCATGCTAGCTACTCTGAAGGGAATTAGCTGTATCCCAGCCAAAACCAGCCCACACATATAGCAGAAAGCATATACCTGACCCAAGCTAGAGCATTCTTGTTAGCGCTGACAGGACAGTGTATTTTTCCAGCGTGGTGCCCTTGTTTGTGTTCAAATTTAGGGATAAAATCAGTGAATTTATGTTTCTTGTTGGCTACCCACTGAAGTGGCAAGGTGTGGGGGGGAGCAGCAAGACTGTTTGGAATTATCTGCCTGGAGGAAGTATAATATTTTTCCCATGTCTGATTCTATCATACAAGTATAATAATTATATGTTTTCAAATCATTTTTCTTTGAGATAGTAAATGTAATTTACTTTGGCATAAAATTGTAAATAAAAGTGTTATGTTTTGCAATATTAATGTAATGAGATAATTTATGAAGCTGAATCTTAGATATGCACAATCTATCTCATCATGGGATTTTATTCTATTTTAGAAGGTAGTAGATGTGCATAGATCCAGAACAGTGAAGTTGGTGATAGGTAAGTAGTGAAGGTGTTCACTTACTCAGTTATATTAAGTATGGTGAACTCCCTAAACATCATGACAAGTAGTGTTAGAGGAATTTAAAATTCTCTGAGAATGAAATATTTTGACTGCCTTTTTATTACAGGAAGTGTTCTCAAAAGGAATAATACTGCTGTCTGCAATAGCAACAGTAAGAGCTCATGGGGAGAATAAGTTTGAAGTTGTCACATCCCATAGGACTTTTGTTTTCCGTGTGGATAAGGAAGGTAAGTAAAAAATGTGTTTGTAGAAATTGCCGAAAAGCCATGTAATCACTGTTGATAAATTCTGTTTGTGAAATGTAGCTTGTTTTATTATGAGAAATATTTCCAGAGTTGGTTTAAGCTCATGGAGTGAAACTGGAGATAACTCTGAACTTTGTTAGAACAGTGAAAATTGCTGGGCAATGGCTTTTTCAAATATCAAAATGAGAAGACTGTTTTCCTGACTCCTCCCCCATCCTTCCCAAAGATTAATTTGTCTGAACATTTCTCAAGTCTCACTAGCAGCTCTTACAGCCTGTGCACTCTCAGACATCTCTGAGTTACCACTTGATAAGAAATTGACAAAGAGACAATGAATGATGCCTGGGATGTGTTGCTGTGATCGAAGGAAATCCAAAGTTTTCTGTCTTAAACAGTATTTTCAGCCAGGTATTGATAGAGATTACAAATGTAAATTGTAGCAAGGAGGTTAGTATGCCTTCTAATTGAATGCTTTATCAACCTACAGCTGTAATATGTGGAATCAATATCAGTGCATGTATGATTTATTTATGGAACCAGTCAAATAAAAGGGAATGCCTAGAAAAAAGGAGTTGTGCAATATGTATTTACAGCAGTACATGCCAGAGCCATTATAGCTCTGGGGCCTCTCAGCATTTCCATTATCAAATCCCATTTTTATGGGTTATAGTTGGTAGTAAACATTTGCTGCAGGCTGTAACCGGCGTGCAGCATCAATGAACAAATCCTTCTTAGCAGGTTTGGTTCAAATAATTTTAGTCATTTTTATGCTCCTAGCTGAGTTTAAAAATATATATTTCTTTATTATTTTTGCATTTCTCTTCTATATTTATTTTAATTTTTTTTTCATAAATTATAATATAGCCATCTTGGTGCAATATGTTTTGGGGGTCTGCAATTTTTTTTCTAGGACTTTGCCTTGGATACTACAGAAGTGTTAAAAACTTATGCTGACTTGTAAAATATATTCAGAGCGACCACTTGTTATACATGGAATTCCATTTTCATACAGTGTATAACCATCTTTGGACATAGTAAGATGTCTGTAAAGCTGTCTGTAAAGCTGTTCACTTAAGGTTAGAAATGCGTATTGTGTAAGGAATGTGGTCCAGAACTGGATGATGTATTCCCAGTAAAATAAATAAATAACCCTCCTTGATTTTTGTTATGCGCTAAAAACAAAACTGTTACTTGATGCTATTACTTCTGTGGATTTGTGTTTAGGCATTGCTCTGGGACTATTCAAAGGGTACTTAACTTCTTTCAAAGATTTTGAATTTGAGACCTTTACATGTATTTTGATATCAGAAATGCATTACTTTTGGATGGCTTTAAATATCTAGAGGAAAAAGCAGTATATGTAATGGTTTGGAAAGTTTAGGGGCTTTTGGGTGCAAAAGGGATAGCAGTGAATTAGAGTATAACTTGCTCAGATGCAGTGAGATTTTGTTTCACCACAGTGAAATACCATTAAAAAAAGACACTTCTAGAGTGATTTGATGCCCTTAGCTATACTAAAGTACTTTGAAAATATTACTGGAGTATTTCAAGACAGCATGTATGTATTTTAAACCAAATTTTTTACAGGAACACTTGGATCACATTCCCTGTGCTAGCTAATTTGTCAGGCTGCTGTCTTCCTTTTCTACACAGTATTTTATGACACCTAAATTTGTGTATTTGTTGCTGTATGTTGCACATATACCATTTATGAAGTAAGCAGGTTATTATTTCAGTGGTGCTCCCTACAGTCTTCCAAGCTAATTTTGCCATCTTCATACATACTGTGAATAGAACTTCCAATCCCTCCCTTCCCCCCTCTACATCTCCCCTGCCCCCAATATATTTTGTGATCTGGCTCTTTCAGAGCAAACAGTTGAAATATTCATGATATTCCAATTGCATAAGGCAAACCTAATTCATTTGGACTACTCAGCATTAAAGTATATTGATCTTAGTCCAGTCAAATGTCTGAACACAGTGAATGAGACTGAGAGAAACTTTATTACTTCACCTCCTTGTGTTCATGTATTTGTAAGATGTTACATTAATAATGCATGCAAAGATGCTCAAACACACATTTTCTTAATTACTCAGTACCCTTGACAATGTCAAGCTTAAACACCACACCTTAATGGAATAGATTGTAAGTCACCAAGCAGTTTTTCTTGAAAGCATGGTCAAGCATGGAATAGCAGTGGTGATGATTTGTCTCTTCAGTGACAGATCATATTTAGGCTCTGGTTTCTGCTTACACAACTTGTAATGCTGTAATTCTTTCCCATTGATCTGGCTTCCAGAAGGTGCCAGATCATGCCACCTGTCTGTCACCTCAGTCTTCAAGCTGTCTGGAATAAAGTATCTCAGAACTAGCAGTCATGATTTTAGCAATCTCGATCATTGGTTTGTTTGGATTGGTTGTTGGGAGTTAATTGGATGTCTGTCCTTCTAACACCTCCACTGGTACAGATTCTCATTATTTTTATTTACACCTCCTTGTCAACGTGGGCGTTCTCTCTTATTTGGCATGGCTGTACCATCAACCAACATAGCAACAATGTTGGGAAAACCAGGGTGCAGAGAAGAATGAAACTACTGCTTAACTAACTGTCTTTGACTGACTTTTTTTTCTTGTTTAGAAGAAAGAAATGACTGGGTTAATACGATGCTCGATGCCTTGAAATTGATGTCTGATAATAACTCTCAGTCTCGAACTTCTGTCACCCCTGAGAAAAGTGGATATCTTGAGCTGAAAGGATACAAAACCAAAATCTTTATTCTACTTCAGGGGAGTACTGTATGGATCTGCAAAAATGAGCAGGTAAATTTTTCATGTGCTTTTTTGTGAATGAAAGCTTATAAAAATGGTTTTAACTAGTGAGTTGGAAATTGATGGCTCTTTGTGAATAGGTGCATTTCAATATAAATGCATATCTCCTTATATGTAGTGCTTTATTGCTGAAATTCTCAGAAGGCTTCACAAAGCAGGCAAAGAATCATTATGTCTGTTGTACAATAGAAAAGAAAAAGAATATATAGTGAGGTAAAGTGAAAAGCTCTGAGTGTCAAAACATGTTAGTGTCAGGGCTGGGATTAATTCACTCTCAAAATGTGGGCCATAAGCACTCAATCACAAGGCTTATTTTGTGCAGTGGTTTCAGTGTTTTATAATACACTGCCCTGGAAAGTGTACTATAAAACACTGAATACCTCGTGGTATTTAACTGATACTTCAGGGAAATGTTCAGAAATGATGTTCTTTTTGTTTCCAAGAATAGAGACTGGCCAGATTCTGTTGTGCACTGCAATACTTTAAACAAATTCAGTATTAAAAATGTGAAGTAGGCCTGTCTTTTCAACTTCCAAAATCTAGGGCTTTTAGTTTTGTTTTGGGCATGACTATATGATAATATAAAGTGGAATTCTCTAGGGTGCCGTAGGCAGGGAATAAATGAGAATAGTTGGGTTCAATGAATAATTGTGTGAACTAGTGGAAGAAAGATCTATTGACGTTAAATGGCAGGTGCTGTTTTTTTTGTGAGGCAATTCACTACCCTCAAGTAGCTGGAACCTGGGATGGCACTGGGGGAGGTGTTTTTACATTCTTGCCTTGTTTTTTCAAAGTTGTCTATAGGCAAATCCCTGTCTCCATTGTCTCTCTTGGAGTTGATCTCACTTCCTCTCCTGTTACTCTCTCTGTGAAGTTATTTAGGTGTGCTTGAGGGTCCACTTAATGTTTGATACAAAATCTTATCATTCTTTCCCAGGCTATGGCAGGAAATTAGAGACTGAGGAAGACCTGTTTTTCTTTCTACTTCCTGTACTTCAAGGAAGTTTTAGTTGTTAGGTACATTCTTTGAGGTCAGTCAACTGCCAACAAATCAAGAATGTTTAATTGGGTTTGCATGGCAAACCTGAGGAGGGAAGAGCAGCAGAGACAAAGTGTGATGAACTGGCTACAACCCCCCATTCCCCATCCCCCTAAGGTGCTGAGTGGGGAGGAGGTAGCGAAAATCAGGAGCAAAGTTAAGACTATTAAGAAGGGAGGGGTGAGGGAAAGGTATTTTAAGATTTCATTTTATTTCTCACTATCCTGCTCTGGTTGGATGGATAATAGAAAATAAAAATTAAACTAATTTGCCCAAATTGAATCTGCTTTGCCAGTGACAGTAATTGGTGAGTGATCTCACCTTGTCCTTACATTGTCCCTCAATACTTCTCTTACATTTTCTCTCTCCCGTCCAGTTGAGGGAGAGGGGGAGTGATAGAGAAACTTTGATGGGCATCAACCCACCGCAAACATGATACAGTTTATGAATTTCTGCTGTTCTGTAACTATATAAAACCTCCATAAATTATTTAGATATGTAATGCGATACCAAAAGTGTATTTGCTGTGTGTCTTTTGAATTTAAACCCACAGCATGTGTTTTGCTGAATGATCATCAGGGAGAAAAATTGGTCTTCATAGCTGAACACAGTACTCTTTATGTAGACTGAAATCTTTAGGCCTGATTATTGTAATGAATAGGTGACCTGTCAGTTTATTTAAGTTCACAGCTCATGTTTAAGGAGGAGCAAAACCAAGATGCAAATACCACCCCTCCTTTCTGAGATCCTATATTTACTGAAGTGCTCTTGCACTTCGAATGAAGTTGACTGACTTCATAGTTGTTGCCTGTGGGACTCACACCATGAGAATGCTCAGTGTTACTCCTCTGTCATGGCACTTCCAGGTATTTTATCTGTGAGGGTTCATGGAAAGCATTCTCATCCATGAAAATCTTTTTGTAGATGTTCATTGTTAACAAGGCACTTCTCTTTTCAGGACTTATGCTTTTTGAATCTTATGTCCCTGAATATTTTTGAGTGGTCCCTGTAAATGTTCTGAGCTTTTTTGATTGAGGAGTAAAGATACCCAGACTTGTGAAGGAATTTCTCCTCCAGAGTGATAGGTCATTTGAAATTAGTTATGTCCCTCTTGAGTTATGCCTGCAGTACCAGGCATCAAATTTTTGCTTTTTCCCTTTGTCCTTACTCTGCTTGAATGTAACTGTTGGGAGCATTTCTCTTGCCTCCAGTTGTGCTTTGAACTTCCTCTGTTTACATGGGGCATTCCCAGCTCTGCCTACTGTGCTGAGTCAGTTTTTCTGACTATATATTGATACAAAACAGAGCCATTTACTCCTGAAGGCTTCTTGATTGCTCTTTTCTGCATTTTCAGAGTGCACATTATATGATTCAGATATCCTAAGACTGCTCCTCTCCCCCAAGTCTTTCTACAGATTTTTAAAATATTTTTGTGTGTGTGTGCATGTGTGTTGGTTCTATTGCTTGTGCTGTTGTGTGGCAGGTTGTATCTGCTCTGCCCTTTCAACATCATGCATTTCAGAATTACTTCATCTGATCATGAAAGCACATCCTTATACAGCCCTTTTCCTAGTTATATATTCCCTTCTAATACATGGATGCTCTGCAAAGATCACTGATTGCAGTGCAGCAGAAGGCAAACCAAAATCAAGCCCTGAAACAGAATGGTTAGAAGTGCTGCCAGCCTGTTAACTCCTCCTGTGTGTATGAATATTGTAAATAATAGTGCAAAACTATCTTCTTCCCAAAGCCGACTTATCTAACCCTCAGAAAATTAAAATGATCCTAAGATATTTCTTTGCAGATTCTGCATTTGAACAGTATCCTTTCTTCATGCAGTTTCTGGATGCTTGTGAATCAAAAGAAATACATTCTGTCTTTGGGCTTTCAAAGTCTGCAATTTTTTGACTACCTCTGGTGTTTTAATTTCAAGTTGGAAAACAGAATGATTTTTACTTCAGTACTGAAGAAAACCGTCACAATACAGCACTGATCCATTAGAGGGCGCTGTTGATCCAGAAATCCTTCCCTGCCTCAAGTTTGCAGTTGAGCCGGTAATTATTAGGCAAATCTGTCCAGGGATGTCCTCAAATCCTGTTCATATTGGAATTCACATCCATACTAGGCTCCTGGAGAGCCTTAGAGGGGTTTATTATAACTGCAGTGCTAAAAGACACCTATTTAGACTTCTTACAATGTTGAAATGAGATTGGATCGAGCTTATTCATTGATTTCTAATAAACTTGATAGAGGAGAGTCTGCTGTTACTTTAAAAAAAAAAAAATTTCAGTGTTAAAAGTGGAGAAGATCCTAAGCCAAATGCCAAATTGTAACTTTACAGCCATGAACTTTGTGAAGTTCAGATTGAGATCAGAACATCATGTCTCAGGCCTCTTTCTAGTTAAAAAGTGATTGGTTTAGCTTGAACTTGTGGCAGTGATATAGTGCTAGTACGAAACTATCAATTTCTTTGACTCATGTAGTGTAAATTTCTTAAACTTCCTCTCTTGAGCAGAAGTGAAAAGTAAATCGTACTGGATCAATTTGTTCAACCTGCAGCTTGCTGAAATTCCCATTTCTGTTTCATTCGTGCTTAAATAAAAAAATGAAATCTGATCATTCATGGCAGTTCAAACATTGGCTGGAAATGTCAGTCTGCAGTGGCAGTGCCAATCTTCCCTTGGTTACCATCAGAAGGAGTCTGACAAATGCTTGTCTGGTCTGCTTGAATATATCTGCTTTGTAAGGCTATATTTAAGGTTTATTGGTATCTAACATCAAGGAGGGCCTAGATATCATAGTGTTTGTGCTAGAATTTGGCTTTGAAAAGAGAAATCAGGATAATCTTCTTACTGCTTTGGGTGATTAGATGTATTTAGCTGGGATATTTGAGGAAACTTAGCCAAATAAAAAGATGGGGGGCTGGTATGTCTCTGTGCCGTAATAATTTGTGACATGTTTTCTCTGTGCCTACTCCAAGTTCAAGCTATAGTGGTGATGAGTATTCTCTCTGTTATGTATAAGCAATAATATGCATTACTTATTAAAAACCACTTGTTTCATTTTGGCTCAATGTTCCTATTGATTTCAGAGGGTGTTTTGTTTTGAGAAAGATTTAAATGATGTGCTCTGTGGCAGATGGAAATGTTTATTCATGTTGAATGAACCAGTAAGGGTGCCTAGTAATTTTAATTTCTTCTGTAATGCTAATGGTGCACTTAAAAGCAAAACTGGACAATACCAAAGGATGTATTAGGAGAAAGGATATTAAATAGGCAGAAAATGGCAAAGGGAGGGATAATGTAGAGACCTATACAAAGATAACTGAAAGGACAAGCCAAAGCTGATGCTTGAGATTGGCATCTTGGAAGAGAGGAAGTGATGTGAATGTCAGTGGAAGGCAGCAGAAGGGATGTGTGCATGTATCTCTGTCTGCATAAGAGCAGAGATATGTCCTTGTCTCTTAAGAAATACAGGCTTAAAGGGGAGCATTTTTGAGCGACCTGATCTAGTGAAAAAGATGCCCCTGTTTCGGGGGGATTGCATTAGATAATCTTTAAAGGTCCCCTCTTACCCAAACTATTCTGTGATACTGTGAAATACATATAGACATACATACATACAATCCCAGAGACATTGTGGTTGAGGTTCAGGGGCAGACTTGGAAGTCTTTTATTGAAGTGAAGGGAGTTGACCCATCCTAATTGATCAGCATCGAACTCCGATTTATTGATTCACCAGGCATATTTTTTGTAACAGTGTTAATTAAGCTCCTACATATTGCAAAATCCGAGCTCGTCAGAGGTCACAGATTAAAGACCAACCCCTCCTTTTGTTTTCAATACCTGTGGTTTGTTATTGAAACCAAGATTTGTATTCTCACCCTGATATGAAAGATTCTCAAGGCCTCCATGTTTGTCACTTTGCTTTCCCATACTTTATCCAAGGACAA